TTACCACTATATATGATTAAGGTCACTGCTGACAGCAGAAGTGTATAATTTGTGCCCCTCCAAAGCCCTAAAAAAACTCCCAAGGATCCATCAATTAGCAATTTTCAATGTGACAGAATGGAAAATGAGAGTAATAATGTTATGTTTAATTAATTAAATTAAGTTAAAGTGAATTCCACTTTTTCTTTGCTCCAAATAATATGGATCCTAGCCTACCAATAGAGAAAATATTATAGTTTAGGATTGAATTATGGGGTCCTTGGTGCTCTTTTGAGTTTGGTTGCTTCCTTGCAGACTTTTCATTACCAAACTAGGTAACATCATCAATTGTAGTAGTTATGATATCTAGTTTGGTAATGAAATGTCTGCAAGAAAGCAATCAAGCTCAGGGACCCTGGTGGTCAAAACCTAACATAACTTTTTATTGAAATTTATATTTTGCCCAATAATTCTAGATAGCTGAATGAAAAATTAAGGAAGTGGGGGGAAGCTGACCTGATGTTTAATACTAGTCCTATCCTTTTGATTCCATTTTAGTTGATATGTTTTCAAACCTTTGAATTCCATAATTACTAGATAAGAGAGGACCAATTTTCATATAACATGTCTGGATTTTTTAAAAATTTATCCTAGAATTAAGTATTTTAGCATGATGAATGGAATATTTAATGAGTAAATTTCTATTCAGATAGTCGAAATGTGTTACATATGAATTAACATTTTTGATATATATCATTTGGGTGCCATTTCTGTCCTGCAGTACAGTGGACAGTGTGGTAAACATCAATACGCTTCGCAATGCAAGTCAGTTCACTAGCCTAAACTGATTAGGAATTGTGGAAATTATAGCCTTAACACATCCAGATACCTGGCTTAGTCAATTAAGCAAGGACTTCAAAGGCATCATTTGCCTCCTTGTTTAGATCCCAAGTATGTCAGTTGCTCAGTTTTCCAGATTTAGCTGTTTTATATATCATACTTTTTATCTCTCAATTTCATATTGTTTAAACAGAAAATGTTTTTTTTAATTGCCTTCTTGGACTTCATAAAGGTTGGGAATAGTATTAACAGGCTATGTGAAATTGAAACTGTCATGTCGCTCTTTTGTCATTTGTCTGATTTTTCTTGTTCTATATTTTTAATTCTTATTTCTAAGTTTAATAAAATATTTGACTTGGAACTTGGGGATTGAATAGGTATTTATTACCGGCCCAAGTATTTGTTTCTTGAATGTCTTCCTTCTGTGCTGCAGGTCTGGACCAAGAAAGATATTTTAAAAAATTGATTTAGATCACAATGTAATGACAGAAGTGAGACAGTAATTATTGCCTTTGGTTGAGGGTTAGTTCAAGCATTTTTACATGCTCTTCAATGTAGAGTAGAAAGTTTAAAACCAATGAGCCTGCCTATTACAATCATGATGGTAGTAAAGTTGCATCATTGAGCTTAATTTTTAAAATTGCTCCAAACATTAAATCTCAGGCTCAGCATAGCTACTGCCTTTACAAATAATAAGGCCAAAGGTGAACATTATCTGTTTTCAAAACTACCCAGAAAAAACAAAATATCTTGCCATGACGCTATATGGTAGGTAATTTAATAACTCTTACCTCAAATGTTTTTTTCTGAGAAGGGAAATTATGATTGTCTCAACAGGTGGTCTTTAGATATGTAAGGTAACGCTGAGATAATTTACTCCCTGCTTGAAACATTTATGGACCATCAAATTTCCCCACGTTTTGACTAGATCATGTAGTCTAAAATGCAGTTACCGTAGTATATTATAGGTTATTATTTAGAAAGAGTGTGTAGTATGTTATATATCAGAGTATGTTAACTCTTATTCACACAGTAATGTAGGCAATGGTTATTTTTGCATTCTGTATTTAATATTACTTTTACTTTTCCCAGAGAAAGTGCAAAACACAAGAAAATCCTTTTGGAGCACTTTATCCCTTAATATTTTTTCAAACATTTCCTTATTTCTCTTATTTTTAGAACATCCTGATCACTGCATGAAAAATAAAAAAAATTAGTTACTCCTAGTTTTGTATCATGTGCAGACTTGATCATTATTCCCACAATCTCTTCATCTAGGTCGTTCACAAAATTGATTAGCAGAAAACTCTGTGAACTCATCTCAATATTATGCCATGGCACTGCTTCCAATCTATTTTCAAGTGAAATGTAGGGAAATGAGACTTAACTAATGACTAGTTTGCAACAAGCGCACTGTGGCTTATGTTAATTGTTGCATCTCTATTCAAGGGCTGTTTTATATGTAAAATCTGCTTCAGGACTTGTCCAATAAAGGATGTCAAGTTGACTGTGAAATTCCTAGATTTCAGCTCACAAAAAGTTTGGCCTACATCTCCATGGAGAACTGCTTCAACTGAATCATATTTCAGAGTTTTATAACCTAAATTGTTCATTTCAGTTCTTGCCATATTTCTGTTGGATTTAGATCTCAACCTTGACCATTCCAAACATTGAGGTGTTTTTTTTTTCATCCATTCTCCTATAGACTTGCTTGTATGCGGAAGCAAGTATTGGAATTGGAACTACTGTCTTTCTTCAGCTGACAGACAGATGGCCACATACTCTCTAGGCGAAGTCTCTGATACAAAGCAATATTCATGCCTTGTTAAGCAAGTACAAGTTTTTCAGGTTCACAGTACAGTAGTCAGTAGTCCGTAGTCCTTAACTTAGAACAGTTCATTTAGTGCCCAAAGTTACAATGGCTTTGAAAAAAGTGACACAAGACCACTTTTCACACTTAAGACTGAGGTAGCATCCCCATGGTCATGTGATTTACATTTGGATGCTTGACAACTGGTTCCTATTTATGACAGTTGCAGTGTCCTGGGGTCATGTGATCACCTGCAACCTTCCGAGAAGTAAAGACGAAGCCAGATTCACTTAACCATGTTACTAATGTAACAACATCAGTGATTCACTTTAAGAAATGTGGCAAGAAAAGATGTAAAACGGGGCAAAGCTCACTTAACTAATTTCTCAACATAAATTTTGGGCTCAATTGTGGTTGTAAGTTGAGGACTACCTGTATTACCATTTTCATGCTTGATGGTAGGAAATTCTTGACTGACTCATCCATTAAGCCTCCAAACTTCCACTTTGACTCATTCTTCCAGAACTCTGGGGAGTTACATACATAGTTTTTGTGAAACCTAAGACAAACATCAATGTTCTTAATAAGGAATTGCTTCCAACTTGCTACTCTCCCGTGAATTCTATTTTTACTTATTGTCTCTGGTGTTGGAATAGTAAATGCTGATTTTAGTCAGGATGAAAGGCCTTTAGCAAACAGATCCTTGGATGCTATTTTCATTAAAGGTGTGGTTTTAGGAATGATTTTGACAGGATAACCACTTTTTAGTTCTATTCTCCGTTTTAAGACACTATCATTGATATGTGGATTGGTGGATCCCCTTTTTATGACCCTTTTCCAAGCTGATGGGCATCAAGACGTTTCCCCATACTGCTTCTGATCACAATATGAGTGTGTGGTGAGAACTTTGCCCACCCTCCCTTTAGCAAGCCCACATAAAGTTCTGATAATGCTCATTGGTAAGGAAAGAGTAGAATCGGAGAACTTTCATCAGCTACATATCCCCTTTCAGGAAGTTTTGGATTTCAATTTTGGGACCTTAAACGCAGAGAAGTTCAGCAGAGGAAAGCTTTGTTTCCCACAACAGGACAATCTAATCCCCTCCCTTTCCACGCTTGCATAGTTTAGTTTCAGAATCTCACGTGGGTTTTCTTTTCCTTTTTTTTAAGAAAGGGAAAAAAATAAAACTCCAGAGAGACCCGCGATTTCTGCCATTTGTACTGAATGAACAAGGCCTTATCTGCCTTCCCTTCTGGAGCGGACAAGCTTGTCATTGGAGAAAAGCCGCGTCGCCGATTGGAGCAGCCCCGGCGGGGCGGGCAGCAGGCGGAGTTAGCCCCGGAGCGTCTTCCTGCCGTCCCTTTTCCCTTTCTGCTCGGCGCTTCCTGGCCAGACATGGCCTCTTTCTTGGATCTGGACAGCGTGGACGGTGAAGCTGCGCCGCCGATTTGCACCAGCCGTTTCCTTTTCGGTTGGTAAAGACGTGTGTGGGCTTCGCGGGCCGGAAATTTTGCCTGGCGGTCATATTTGAGAAATGGAGATGGGGGGGGGGGGAGGCTGGAAAGGGGGATGGTTCTTTGCTACGCCCGGAGTAGCCATCGGTTGGGAGGATTTGATCGCTCTGGGAATGGCTTGAACGGGGCTTTTAATGATCGTATTAGAACGGGACGTTGGACCGCGTGATTAAGTAACCGCAGGTCGGGTTTTTATTCTGGAAAGCTGAGCACATGGAGGCACCACGTGCTTCCCTGTCCCGATTTCAGTTCGTGCTCTCCAGCTCGGCCTTTGCAAGCGGCTTGGCTTGTTGATTGAAAAAAAGGCCGGGAAGTCATACAAGCCACGTGTTGTTTGCTCTTCTTCGGTTGCAAGGAAGTGTTGGAAGAAATGTCCTTCTGGGTTCGGCTCCAAGTGGGGAAAAAGACACTGGAGACATGGAGGCTGCTTGGAAAGATGGTTTTAATGGTGGGCAGGACCACATGGCTTGAGCCCTGAACAGAAAAGGTGATCACATGCTTCAATGTTGGTGGAGAGAAGGAAGGACTGAGATGCTGAGACCCTGGTTTTATGCCCTCTCTGGCCTTTGATCTTGTATTCTGATTGGTTCCCAGACTCCCATGGAGCCATGCAGGCTGCTTTTTGAATCCAGGTTTGGTTGAGTTCTCAGATGCCATGTGGGGAGTTGGGTAAAGTGCCAATATTATCATGCCTTAATCCCATTGCCCTGGAGCTAATGGGGAGAACTCTTTATTATGTAAAGGGACTGGCTTGGCCTTCTTAATGGCCCATTGACCAAAAAAGGTGTGGGGGGCAGGAAGCTGCAGGAAGTTTCTCTTTAAAACGTTTCTCCTTTTCACATCCAGGGAAATATAATATCCTGCCTTTTCAATATTTCCTAGGATATTTCATTTTTCTGGGAAAGGGTTGGATGATAACTTTCCACAGAAGGTTGAATTTCATCGATCGGAGTGGAACTTAATGTGTATTCCACAGGGCAGCATGCAGGTCTCACTCCATTCCAACTCCTGTTGGAGTAATTGCATAGCAAGGCTTTCTAACATTGGTAAATGAAAAATTAAAGCTGTTAAAATTTGTCATCTGTTGTGGTTTTTTTTTCATGCAGCATGGAATACTGAAGTGAATGTGCAATAGAGATTGTTCTGCCTGTTTTCATGTTTCTATAAAGGTTGATGGAGGGGATTTGAAATGCAACATGTCACTCAAAATTATCTCCAAAATTTTTCATGAAAGATACGTTCGTTGGGCAGCAACTTTGAAGTACCGCAATGAACAACTAAGAATGTGTTCCTTCATATAACACTAAAACATCATTGGTTGATTTGCAGATAATTCTGAAAATCAAAAATACTTGTTAATTCCTTTGGCTTTAGAATCAAATATAGTACTCCCATCATTTCAAGTTGGAGGAAACATAGAGGATATCAACACAAAGCATGTTGAAAAAAGCATCACATAAGAAGATAGTGGCAAACTGTTTTTATATTTTTGCCTAAAAAGAGAGATGGGTATTTCCATGAGGTAGCAGAAATCAAGCTCAGCTCAGAGACCAAAAGTTATCGGCTTTTGATCATGCTGGATTTATTTTTTGGCTTCTGAAGAGTGAAACGCATGTTGAAGTGTGTAGTATTCCTGCAGTTGGGGAAACTTGCCTCTTCCTTTTAAGAAAATGTGTGCTATTTTTTTTTAAAAGTGTCTTGTTATAATATCCATTTGAATCCCCCCTAGGATGTGAGCTGAACAGCAGTGCACGTTCCTATACTTTTAAAGTTTCGGAAGAAGATGATTCAGAGCATTTCTTAGCTCTAAATATGGTAAGATATTTCACTTCACTCTGAAATGGGGAGACTAGCTACAGGCTATTTCCTAGCTAGTGTTAGTGTTAATAAGGTAGAATTGTGTGCAGATTACCATGAATGAAGCTGCACATCTTCTGTTGCAAACATTGAAGTAAAGTCTGTTTATTTCACATAGTTGATAAAATACTTTGTTGGCAAAGCTGGTTTAATGCCTATCTGCTTGGGCAAGATGGCTCTGAGCCTTTGTATTTTTCTGCATTATTATGCCACAGAACATAACCTGTGCATTTGCACACACGAATACACAAAAATCAAATATTTTGGGCTGAAGGCTACCTTTTCTGTTTGTATCATCCCAAATGTTACTTGCTTAAAATCATAAAGCAAGATTTTAAAGCAGAATCTCTTAGGTGTATTGTGATTCTGCATACTTCTTTTAATCAGTAAATTTAGCACTAAAGGGAACTTTACCACAAGAAGATTAGGGATGTATGTATGTATGTATGTATGTATGTATGTATGTATGTATGTATGTATGTATAAATCCAGTGTTGTTTGACTGTATTGTTTCCTCTTCTTATATCTCAGGGTATTCCAGAGGCATCCCAAACACCCCTGAGCAGATTTTTGGGATAGGTACATCATGAAGGCTAGAGAATTGATTTAATGGAATGAATTACATAGCCTCCAAATTGGCTAAATTTACTGTTTTTGATTCTGTTCATGTTTGTTACTAGATGATTTTGTTCTAATCCCGCTTCCAAATGCTTATTGGAAGAGGTTCATCATTAGAACTTAAGATAGCATTTCATTCTTTGCTAAGCATTCCTCAGTATCACCTTTTAGTTTTATTTCTCCTTCTCTTTTCAAGGCTTGCCTGTCCGCGGGTGCCAAAGAAGAATGCAACATTGTGGAGGTGGTGGGTCATGACTATCAGAACAAGGAGGTTGCTGTTCCTGTGGCTAACCTGAAGCTGTCGTGCCAGCCCTGGGTAAAACAATATTTTGGGAATATGGGTGTCTTGGAGAAAATCAGTGTCATGGTTCCAGAATGTAGATTTGAAAGACTTTCAAACACAATTGGACATACTTGGAATGGCCCCTCTGATATGCCATGGTGGTTCAGTGGTTAGAATGCAATACTGCAGGCTACTTCTTCTGATTGTCGATTGCCAGTAGTTTGATTCCCATCTGTTCAAAGTTGACTCAGCCTTCCATCCTTCTGAGGTTAGTAAAATGAGGACCCAGATTGTTGGGGGCAATAGGCTGACCCTGTAAACCACTTAGAGAGGGCTTTAAAGCATTGTGAAGCAGTATATAAGTCTAAACACTATTGCTATACTCCAAAGATTGAGGTGTATCACCAGATTTTCCAGAGCCTGCCTTCTATGGTTTCTCCAGAGTGGGTCAAAGAATGTTCATCCTGAGTGAAATATTTGGTATTTGAAAATTTGGTATCAGAAAATCTTTCTTGACCCATGACTTTCTAGATCATATCTGTTTAATCAGCTTAAATAGGGGGCTTATAATAATGAATATAATAATATAATAATGAATCATTAGAATAACTGGATATATTTCACCGGTTTAAAAGGTGTTAATGAGTGCTCTGAATCTCCATAGACGTGTTAATGAGAGTTACATTTGCAAATTAGGAACACAGTATTTCTCTTTCATTATATGAGAACGTCATGGCTCACATCCTCCTCCCCCGCCCCCCAAAAAACCCCAATAGCCACAGATGCAACAAAGCATCTGAATAAACCTCAAAACCTGTTGAACTAAATGAGACTTGGGGATATCCATGATGTTTCACAATTGCTTTGTCTCCTTATTTTTCCACAGTTGTGTTTAGATAATTTTGAGTTCCAGCCCCCAGTGACCTTCCGTCTGCGCTCAGGATCTGGCCCTGTTCATCTTTCAGGACAACATCAAATCTGTAAGAACCCAGGAAAGGGATAGAAGAAACTATTGAGTACAGTGAACATGTCATAGTAGTTCAGGGACATAGAAAAGTAGTAGTACTTTCTGGAGTCGAGATCACAATTCCAGGTTGAGTGTACATGGAAAAGAGATCTGCTATCTAACAGAACCAGCATTTTTGCCCACCTTCTGCTTTGGAGCAGTGCAAACCTCTGAGGATATTGGGTGAACTGCTAAATATGGGGGGCTCTACCAATTTAAACTTCATTGTTTTTAGACTGGAAATTAATGGTTAATAGGAAGGATAGAGGCTTGAGGAATTCTCTGGATGGTATAAACAAGCCAAATTGTTTCTCAGTTCACAGAAAGGATCTTTCAGATGAAGACGTCAGTGATGATGATGATGATGATGAATCTATTGATCAGGAGGAAGAGCTTTCACCTATCAAGCCAGCCAAGAAGAAACAAAAATCATAGCTGAGCTTCTCTGTAGGTACCTGTTCAGTTGCCTGAGAATGCTCATCCTGAGAGGAATATTGTAGAGTTCTTGTTTTTATTAATTAAGCTTGTTATATTCTTGTAGGATACCATGGACAGTTCTCCATTCACACCATTAGTACTGACCTCCTGAAATCGGCCTTTTCATTTAAAGGCTCTGGACAGGAAATGTTCTACAGCTTTTTGCTCATTAACCCCATCTCTGATTTTATATTCTAAATAGCATGATGTATTGTGGAAAAGAGCTTACTATTGCACATGGACAAGGAAAGTAGCTATCTCCAATACTACGGTAGGGACCCTCCCGGTTCCAGCTTTCTTTGTCAAGGGAGTGTTACAGACCTACAGTATGTGCTGATCTTGGACAACTGGTAGCAGCTTAATGAAGTTGGTCTGGGATCTCTGCTTCTCCCCAAGATGTGAGGGGCGGTAGAACCATCTAGATGTGGTTAATTGTGGGCTAAAAATAGGTGCCCATATCTTGGATGTGTTTGCTGCCGTGATTGAGATTTTTGTTTGTGACAAGTGCTACAAATTTTACTTTATTGAGATGCATCTGGAGCTGAATCAAATAGGTTACTGAATCTGGTGACCTTTAGAAATAGATGTTTCTTATTTGGGGGGGGGTGGAATCTGTGGCGTTGTTGGAGAACTGCAAGCGTGTAACTTCTACTCCTAGGGAAAAAAATCAATACTGTGATCAAGAATTTCTTGATACTAAGAAAAGTATCCAATTATAAGCCCTTTGCTCCTGATATTATTTATTTTTTTCCAGGTAAAAAATAGGGTGTGTTTTCCAAATGTTTTATATCTGTTTTTAAGGTTACATTTTTTTAGTGAATATTATCAACTTCTCAGGGAAAGTTACTGACTCCATTTTGCTAACATTGGGTGGCTCTTAATTTTGTTTTGATATGAGCCACATTCTCTGCAATGGTTGATATATTCCATAGTTATTGAAGATACTCCCTAGATTCACTTTCTGAGAAAAAAATTAAAGTATATTTTTTATTTAACTTCATAGAGTTTGAAACATTGCTCACCATTGGCCAGACGGAGTTTATTACAATTTATAATTCAAGACAAGTTTTTACCCTTGATAGATAGCTGAGAATGCTGCCTGTATGTTTTGCCCTTGTTACTGGTGTCCTTTTTAAAAAAAATAAACACATTTATTATACATGTTCTCTTTTGCTTTTTATTTTCTTGAACAATGTTGAGTGTTGAAAAATACAAAATGAAGTACTGTTACTTCATTTTTCTATCATTTCTATTCATTCCCTTCCTTAAATATGTAATGGGTTTAATGAGAATTTCTAGCATTTTCTAAAATAGGCTACAATTATCGTTACTGACTATTTGGATGGTGCTGACACAAGTAGGATTGTTTCAGCCTTGCAAGGATGTACTTAGCTGCTCAACAATTACAAAAGTAAAACCTTAGTTTTAATCCGAATTATTTGCTACTCTTTTGCTATTTTAGCAAGCTTTCTAATCCCAAGCTTATTCCTATTAAACCTGGTAGTTTATTTACATAGTGCTCTGGCTTTAGGTTTCTGTGCTAAGTCTCCTATGCTGCTTTCCTCTTCCAGCTGTGCTTGAAGAATGCAAACAGTTGTCTGTTGAATCCAGCTCATACCCAGGCTCTACCACAGAGTGGCTCATTGTTAGTTCCCTTCTTTTCACTTTCAGGCTGTGCTACCCACTCTTCCCCAACCAGTATTTTTTTTAACCCAACCAGTGTTTTGTCTCTACTGGGTGAGTCACTTTAGTAGCATCCTGCAATCTTCTCTTTCCCCATTGCTTTCTTGCTTATAATTCAGCCTTTTCTTTTCTCCAGACCTCTTGCCTGCCTTATGGTTTCCTGAAGGTCCAGCAACTCCTGTATCATCTTCCTGGGTTTTGTATTGTCTCCTTTCTGTTGAGAGTAGTCTCCACATACAGACTCTCATACCTAATCCAGCAGCACTGTCTGCCAGAGACTTTCTGATAGCTGGCTGGCAGCGACAGAAGCAGAGACGCTACAGAGATTGCAGTCTAGAATGACCGTGAATCGGAGCAGGGATTGCGGCTTCCAGAAGGTCTGGATTCACTGCTGGTAGAGAAAAGCAGAGCAATCATTCTCAGGTGGCTGTAAGGGTTGGACCAGCATGGCTGGTTCTGCATTGTTCAAAGGGCATTTGGGAGGGTGTTTCTTTATTAAAGCAATCAAGGAAGAAAAACATGAATTCTTAACATGGTCCCTAAAATGAAATTATACCCTGTTACTGAAATTTGTTGCTTCTCCTGGTTTTGGTGAAGATAACAAATTGCTTCAGTGTGGAATTCCCCTGTCTCCTTTTGGGTATGTATATGGATGGGGCATTGAGGTACAAACATGTACATAAACATTCACCAGCAAAATAGGTATATTTTGAGCAACAAATCTATTTAATTCCTGTTCAATGATTAAATTGGATTCCAGATCTGAGAAAACACATTTTGTTGACTGGAGTTCTTTTACTTTGGCCGTCCCCAGCTTGGGGCTTCTGTTGAACTATCAATTTGCATCGTCTCCAGCCAGCACAGGGCGTGTTGGTTGAGGGAAAATGAGGGCTAGTAATTCAGGGCATCCAAATAGGGTGAGATTGAACCCACTATTCAAATATTTATTGGATATTTGCCAAGAAAGAGATTGCAAAAGAAGTATAACTAGAGGCTTGGGTTGGATCCTTAAGGACAATAGTGCACAGAGTTGAATAGTTTCTTTGGTCATTTAGGTGATCAGGTGTGTTCTGTGGTTCTAATTGTTGAAATCCTTGAATGCCTGACACATCTTTTTATCAGACAAAAGGAGACATACTCCTTTTGTATCTGATCACACTTGGTCAAATAAAGTATTCAATTAAATTCAAATCTAATAAAATAACATTTCTGGGACAAAAAGCTTTGGGAAAGATGAATCAGACAGATTAATAGATGGGTGATGCTGATAACTTGATGTTGGAAGCCTTTGCAAGAAAGCTAGAACCACAGAAGTTTCTCTACACCTGTTTTCAGCTCAATCTCCAAATCAGCCTCCCCAGTCTGGTTTTTTCTAGATAAGCAGACCAACCACTTAGAGTTCCTCATACCAGGCTGGGAATATGACAACAGTAGGGCAAGAAGGTCTTCAAGTCATTTATGATTCAAATGATTTGTGGAATGGGGTGACATACTCAACAAATTTCCTGAAAGCATAGATTTTTTTCCCTGCAAGCAAAAAAGTGTAGTTCTCAGTTTTAAACAGCTCTTCATAAAAGAGCAGATTCTTCATGCAACCACAGGATGGCAGCCTTATCAGCAAAGACAATTTCTTAAATTTTGTTTCTTTCTAGGGACTTTGAAGGGTTTAGTTTTACCCATTCTTCAAAGGTCTTGGGTGGAGCTCAGGGTGTGTTAGAAAACTTGTTTATGATGCAATAAAGTTACCTGCACATCATTTTAAGAGACTGAGAAATCTATATTGGTTATTTCAGCTAAACTGTGTAAACAGGTTGCATTGGTTTGAACATCCATCATATTTGCTGTTGCCTGTTTGCCAGCACATTTGAAACTCTTTAAAAAGCTGCTTTACACAGCTTCAGTTCCAAAGCACCATGTGATGACCTGAATACATTGGTCTATCAATGTATCTTCTGTCAACAGATTCTCTCATAAAACTAGACAAAAGCCTTGAGAAGACCAGACCAGTGACTATTTCCTATAAAGTTTTGAACAATAATGAGATCCTTTAAAGACGGTTAATAAAGTTACAGTCTTTTACACTGTTTTCTGTGTTGAAGTGTTGAAGAAAACAGAGAATGTGATGGACAGCCAAGAAAACAAAGGGATCATGAAACAAATCAGTCCTCTTGGGGCACAAGTGATCAGACTCATATTTTCCTCCTCTGAGGAAGATTCTGATGCTGGCAAAGGTGGAAGGAAAAAGAAAGGCTAGCAGCAAGTGAGGTGGGCACAATTGCAGTGGAAATGGATGTAGCTTTGAGAGACTTGAAGGACCAGTTTAGGAATAGACCATGTCAAGGGTGTCAAACTCAAGGCCTGCGGGCCGGATTCAGCCTGTGAGGTGCTTAGATCTGGCCCGTAGGACTGCCTTGGAAACCACGAGGGAACCAGCCCATGGTGCCTCTGCTAGCGAAAATGGAGCTTGGGAGGCTGCGACGGCCTCCTGCAACCCTCTGCCCGCAAAAAAGGAGCTTGGGAAGGCCGTGTGCATTTTCGCTGGCGGAGGGTTGCAGGAGGNAAAAAAAAAAAAAAAGAATTTCACCACCAGACAGTGTACAATATTTTCTGATCCAGGAAGAGGCACAATTGACGCACAGTGCAAACATTGTGCAAAAGCCCTCCTGTTCACTGCTGCCTCCTGCTCTTTGAATAGGACCTGCAAATCCAGTAGCTGCCACCCGAAATGGCACACTGGTTCTGTCTGGAATGATGCAAGCCCATCCAGAACTAAAGATGAAAATCACTAGATTCAGGAGGCCTTAAAACTCAAAGCCACTCAGTCTTCTTGTGTTTGAGATGGTTGGTTGTTCCTCATCCAGATCCCCCCCCCCCAGTTGTTTGCTTATACATTCTAGAAGTGAATAGCTGTATGTCTTCCATTTTAGCAAACACTGTTACTTCCAACTTTGTGATTCTATTATTCTACGGAAAAAATAGATAGGTTTCCTTTATAATCTATTAAAATTAGCTTGATGTATCTATCACATAATTGTTAATTTTCTGTTGCAGATAATTTGAATGTTCATTTCCTACTTTTTCCTTCATAATATAAATGTCTAGGATTTTTATTTAGAGTGGCAAGTGGATACTCTTAAGAACAAAATATTTATGTCGTGGAATATTCATAAATATACAATATAAGAGAAACAATATCTATCAAAAGTGGGTATGCAAAGAAAACTATCAGGAAAAGGTTTATACGTGTTAGTGCTTCTTCCAGAGAAGCATTTCCAATGTATCATTCATGCTGATCCTTGTACAAACTGAAATGGAAACCAGAGAAGCACATAAAATGAACTGAGTAAAATGAGCTTGGCAACACTGTTTTCCCTAAAACTTACGAGAGATTGACTCCACTCTGGGTAGCGTGACATAAAATAAGGGAATGCACATAGCCCATTCAAAATCCATGTCTCAGTAGTTATGACTAAACCAACCCTGTTGACACAAAATATGAATGAATTTTGATTTTTTTCCCTCATGGGCTGATCTAGAAAGCCAGCAACCATGTGATATTATGCAACAATGTGCGGGGTGTTGTTCTATTCTGCAAAATGTATTCCAGATTACGCATATTTTGCAAAATGTCCTTACCAGATAATTCCCCTCTGATATGCACCCGATTTTATATGCAAAGGCACTTGGGAAAAGGAATCTCCTTTACTGGGTTAGAATAGCCTTCTTTTCCAATTTGTCCTTTGTTCATTTGTGAATTACTGAGGAGGGGAGTTTCCCCCCCTTTTTAAAAATTGCTTATATGATAATTGGTGTATTTTTATATTAGTCAGTGTCAGATTCAAGGAACATCTTAATCCATCCATCCACCCAGTGCTACGCACATTCTCTGGTTTCCCTCAAATGAGTACCAGCAAAGGAGGAACTGTGAATAGTCTCATATTTTAATTACAAGTCCTACTTTGATGCAATTTTATAACAGATTGTCGTATATTTTAATATCAAATACCTAGCTTTGTCATGCAAGAGGCATAGAACTCATGTCATTAAAGTAGGCTTTGCAGGGATTCTTCTGCTAACTCTGGTTGTCATGAAAATAATTTGGATTAAAATAGATGAATGCAAACTAGAATAAAACTGAGAACATAGGTTTGTTCAAAAGGAAATAGCTTGCCTTGAGATGAGAATACGGATAAATACAAGCAAGCAAAATAATTCTGGTAATTGAAGATGCACAAATCTGAAGATGCCTTATGAATCATATTGCAAAAAAGCTTCAAAAAGGAGCTAAACTTATTTGAATTTTGCCGTTTGTTTTTCTTCAGGTCTGTAAAATGTCTTTAGAGGGACATGATTGCCACCTGGTGGACAACAACAGCTTACAACAAAAGTACCTTATGCACATAATAGTAAAATGGGCTTCCCTAACAGTGATTTCCCTGTCTGTGGAATTAGTTTCCATCCTACTCAGAAATCAAGATTGTGCCATAATCTTGGAAATCATAGGAACCATAGTCCTATTTACAAGAGTTCTCTCTAGGTGTGTCTTGTATACAGTATTGCTTGTCGTCTCCCCCCCCCCACCCCCATATAACCAGTCTCTTCTGTTTCCCAGCACTTCCCATTTCTTATAATGCATTTAATACAATACAATACAATAGCAGAGTTGGAAGGGACCTTGTAGGTCTTCTAGTCCAACCCCCTGCCTAGGCAGGAAACCCTATACCATTTCAGACAAATGGCTATCCAACATCTTCTTAAAGACTTCCATTCACAACTTCTGGAGGCAAGCTGTTCCACTGATTAATTGTTCTGTCAGGAAATTTCTCCTCAGTTCTAAGTTGCTTCTCTCTTTGATTAGTTTCCACCCATTGCTTCTTGTTCTACCTTCAGGTGCCTTGGAGAATAGTTTGACTCCCTCTTCTTTTATATAGGTTCTGGCTTTTTTGACCACTTGAAGATCTTTTTCAACATCAGGATGCATGGACACATTTATATATTTATGAATCTTTTCTTCATATCTTTTCTTATCCAGTTGCTTTTTGGGCAATTTGTCATTCAGTTGTTTTTGGCTCTTCATGACATTCAGTATGATCAGAATGTATCCAGGACTGTCGCATTAATTGCTTCTTTAAGTCTTTATAAGCTCAAGCTTCTGTCATCAGTGATAATGGTCAGATTTTAGTGATTTTGCCAGCAGACAATTTTACTCAATAGTAAATGTTTGGAGATTCTGAAACTGCAACCAGGACCTGCCTGATATCCCATATCAAAGGCACCACAGATAAAATCAGCATAATTCTCCACAAACACAATATCAAGACAACCTTCAACACTGACCAAAAAATAGACAACATCTTAAGAAACCCCAAAGATAAAATCCAGCTAGAAAACCAAGGAGTCTATGAAATACCATGCAAAATCCGCCCTGAAACATACATAGGACAAATGAACAGGAGAATAAATGCACGCATCGCAGAACACAAGAACACAGTAAGAAAAAAAGAAAAAACTTCCTCCCTTTTCCAGCACCTTAAAGCTACAGGAAATGAAATTAATTTTGAAGGAACCAGGTTAATCTCCAAAACTGAACACTTCAACAAGAGAATAAGCCATCAAAATAGAGAAACACCCCCACAACATGAATAAACGTGACAATACCTCCTGCTTATCAGACATCTGGAAACCAGCCCTAGTCAACAAACAAGCCCCACCACCACCCACGCCGTTACAACAGAAAACAACAACAGACACACAGCCAGCACCAATCTACCAATTATGATACAACCACACAACCAATCATTCCACTTACTGAAACAAAGCCAGCACCCCCCACCCCACCACCAAGATTTATAGAAAGATAAATAGCAGCTCCGACCGCGCTTTAAGCCGAAAACACCAGCCTGAAGATGGCGAGTGAGACCCCGCCGAAACGTTGCCAAGACAATCTCAATCTTACATGGGAAAAGACCCGAATACAACAAGACCAGCATACCTACACCCGTGAAAATCTACAAAAGCATATATATGTATATGTACATATGTACACACACATATATGGCTTGAAGTCAGTGTTGATTTCTGGTGACTGCCTGGGCACGTCCCTGTGGTTTTCTTGGCAACATTTTCAGAAATGATATGCCATTAGCTCCTTCTTAGGACAGAGAGAAGATGGCTGGCTCAAGGTTACCCAGTTGGCTTTATGCCTAAGGCTGAACTAGAACTCACAGTCCAGCCTGATTTCTCAACCACCACACTAAACTGGTTCTCTATCACATGTCATAGATGGATAGACTTTTTGTCTATCCAATGTTACCCATGTTAGAAACAATCCTAACTGAAATAAGTATCACAGTCAACAGAAATCAGATTCCTCAATGTTTACCTAATTGCATGTTCAAAATCTTTGATATCCAAAAATTGTATAATATTCAAATAGGATGCCATACTTTTACCTCCAAAATGGAAATGAAACAATGCTTTAAGAGCAAAGTAAGGGGGTAGAGTTTGAAACTTTAAAAAAAACCTGTCAATCCAAACTACTTTTCTACCAAAAAAGTATATTTTCTATTAAAATGAAAATCTCATTTATTTGGGAGTTGAAGGAACAA